CAAGTCGTCGCATCTGAAGTCCCACCAGCGCACCCACACGGGTGAGCGCCCTTTCTCCTGCGACTGGCTCGACTGCGACAAGAAGTTCACGCGCTCCGACGAGCTGGCCCGCCACTACAGGACGCACACGGGCGAGAAGCGCTTCTCCTGCCCCCTCTGCCCCAAGCAGTTCTCCCGGAGCGACCACCTGACCAAGCACGCCCGCCGCCACCCAGCCTATCATCCCGACATGATCGAGTACCGGGGGCGCCGTCGCAACCCCCGCGTCGACTCGCAACCTGCCAGCCTGGCGGACAGCTCCGGTTCCGTCCCCGGGCAGGTGCCCAGCTTCACCACCTGCTTGTCTGACAGTCATTGCTGTTAGTCGTCCCCTCAAGGACAATCCCCCAGGCCGTTGTCCTTGCTTTCTCTCTGCCCATCTCTCTTTCCCAGAGTGATTAGACCAAGGCACAGACTGGCTTCTCTGCTCTGAGGGTGGGTCCAGGCAGGCATGTTGGACCCTGGGGAGGGACTGGGGGCCCGAAAATTGCAGGAATTCTTGCAACACGTATGTGATCCTAAAAGGGGGGGTTACCTCAAGACAGCCCCCAGAAACTGGTAAAATGGGATGAACCCCCGTACTCTCCAGAGTCCTGAAGAATCTCCCTTCCATGGGAACCAGAGATGTGAAACTGGAATTCTCAGGTGCCTGAAGAGCTCCCAGTCTTAAAGGACTCTGGTGTCTTGCCCACCCACCAGAGCGGACCTTGGAGAGGGTGTCAGGGGTGGCAGCCTTGGAAATGTCCAGGACTGAGGTGGTGAGAGGCCTTTGGAAACAGAAATGATTTCTATTTCTGTAAACAGCAATGTTTACTAATGTATTTTTAGTATCTTTTAAACAGGGATCCCAGGTTTATAGGAGGTTGATGTCCTCCACTCCCCAGTTGTCCCAGCTACCTCTGCTAGGAGAGAGGTCATGTAAGAGTCCATGTGGATGTATGGCTGGGAGATGCTTCTTGGTGTCTGGGGAGTGGTGCAAGTCTGTTTGCAGGTCCTGTTGCAAGGATTGGAACCCTACACTCGCGTCGTAGATTTTCTTCCCATTTGGAGTCCTACTTGGGGAAGGTAACTTCCTGGCTCACTCACAATGAAATTGGTTTTGAAATTTGGAAACATTCATAAAAGCACCAAAAATCAAAGGGTGGTCCAGGCTAGTTCCCACTTCACCCTAGCGACTGTGGGTGAGATAGGTCCAAAAAAAAAAGACCTTTCAGAACCATTGTTAACATTCAGGGAAATAGGGGCTTGTCGTCCCAGCTGCCCACTCCCAGGTAACCTCAGGTGTGGTAGATTCTGTTCATTTCTTAGTGGCTAACTAGGGGGTTATTTCCCTTGGTGCATTTTTGTTTCTGCAACAGGTGAGTTGGTGGTTTGGGGAGGTTAGGATGGGAGTGGCTTCTTCCAAAGACCTGGCTGCCCTGGATTTGGGGAAGAGACAGCAAGGTGAAAGTTATTGTCAAGTAGGAGGACCCTTCTCCCCTGACTTTGGAGTCCCTCCAAGTTGCACCCTCAGGACCCCTCTCCCCCAGTGCAGGACTCAAGCACCACCAGTATTTATTTTTTCTGTTCGTGTTTCTGCTGCTATGGATGAAATCGTTGGCCACTCTGCTTATGTATGTGTGAATGTGTATACATGTGACGCTTTCATTAGAGATGGAGTTGAAAGGCATTTCCTGCTCTGGTAAGGTCCCCTTTGGCCCCTTCCTGAATATCTTGTAGTAGTCCATCAATCACACTTGTGGAGGTGCCATAATCTCAAAAAACCATAACAGACATCTAGTTAAAACTGCTTTTTCCTGTTTTGCAGATGAAGACACTGAAGGCTAGATAAGCTGTAAGTCATATGCTAAACTGCTGGCAAAAGCCATGACTAGAACTTAGATATCTGGCCTTCTAAGGAACTTTTTCCCTTATGCTTGGTTACCCCATCTGGAGCCTTAGTCAAAAGACACCACTCTCCCTTCCTGCCACAAGAATCCCCTCCTTCCCTATTCCCTATCACTTCTTTGTTCCTTCAAATGTCCAGTCCCCGCTGAACCCTTTGCCTGTTGTGTTTAACCTGAAAGCCCTTTTCTTAGCAGGTTGAGTCCATTCCCTTCTTCCACACCATGTGGACTTAAAGTGGGAATGACTCTAGCACCTTGGGAGAGATTTTCTCTTTTGACCTGGTAGATTAATTTTCAGGGAGAGTTTCTAGTCCTGGGAGCTCCAGCTTCATTTAGAGAGTGAGTGATGTGAACATTGGGACTCTACTAAATTCTCCTACACTAAGTGAGGGAAGGGCATTTAGGAAGGACCCAAAGGGTATAGGCTGTGACCCTGAAGAGGTTCAGAGCTTCCCAAAGAGAACTAAGCAGGATAGGTGGGCTCCTTGAGTTACATATGGGAAGAGAAGGCCCCGGTTTTGGAGGTGGGTTTTGGTGTGGGAAGAGTCCTCCCTTTGCTCTGTTTGTCTCCTTAGCCAGGACTTGATAGGAAGGGCACTCTGGGGTCCCCTTGAGGACTAGGATTTCCCCTTTGTTCCCTTCAGTAGAAAATCTGCCACTGGGGAAGTGGACCAACGAAACTAACAGGAGAGAGACTCCCACTGACCATTCTGGAATTGGGCTCAAGAAAGCTTGGCTTTTCCAACCACCTTCTGATAAATAACTTTTGATTTTCAATCTCCCAAATAGTGTCCTTATTTGAGTTCTTGTACCTTGGGGACTTTTGTCTGGGGATGGCCTCTGACAATCTAAATACAGCATGTCTTTCAATGACTCCTCCAGAAACTTGGGGTGGTGGGAAGGGAAACAGACAATGGAGGCAAGATTTGTAGGCTGGTCTTTCTCAGTGTTGAGTATTATTGTTACCCTTTTCATTCCAGCTGCCAGATAGCTCTTGAGGACCAGTTATTAGTGAAATGCCTTAAAAGGAGCTTCCTGGTTTTATTGGTTTTCTTCTCTCTCTCTCTTTCTCTCTCTCTCTTCCTTCTTTTTGTTAATCAGATGGAGCTCAATAAGTAAGTGTGTCTGGGGTTTGGTTGCGGTAAATCTGAACCTCTGGGCCCTTGCCCGACCCACGCCATCCTGAGTTTGGATGTAGGGAAGACCTAGTAACAGAACCTATTAATAGGACTCTTCTTGAAATCTGGGTTGGAATCTGGGAATGAATTCCAGGTCAGGTCTTGGGCATGAGGGAACTGGATCCTCTGCTCCTGCTGGGAGGCGATGAAGAGTATAGGCCTTGCCCCCACCTATTGAGACAAGAATCTGTCATTTGTCCCTGTTTCCCTGTTCTTCTCCAAGTGGGGAACCATATTGGAATATCACTCTTGGCCCCATCTCTACCTCTTACTTCTCTCACAAGGAAGATTGTGGATTGTGTTCTCTGATGGAGACATACAGAAGATGTTCATCGTGTACACACACACAACACACACACACACACACACACACACCTGTCTTTTCTCTTTTCCACATATTTGCTTGCAGTGTATACCTACTCCACTCAGATCCAGCTTCCGTATGGTAAGCACACCTGCTCAGGCCTAGACCTGCCTTCCAGAGGCAGATCTGAAGAGCACCTCTCTCTGTCTCTACTTCTGGAGCAGCCATGCCGCTTGCAGCTCCCCAGGTAAGTGTTTCCATTGTATATTCTCCTTTGGGTGAGTAATCCCAATAGGAGGAATTGGAGGGGTGGGAGAGGCACTGGAGGGATGGTATTAGAAAGCCCAGTTTTGGCCTGAGATGCAGCTTCATCATCAAAATACTGATATTTTGGTCCTCATTGGTCTAATTGCTGTATCTATTACCCAGTTGGTTGAGAACTGAGAAAGGAAAAGGATATGATTAGCTTTCTCCCTTAAGCTCCAACACATGCAAATATGCTATTATTATTTATGGCTATTAAATCTTGAGAAATAGGCACTCTGACTGGAATTAGGGGACCAAAATAAGATGTGTGGAGATGAAACATCTGGTGTCCCAAGGCACAGGCTTTCGTGCTTTAGTGATCTTAGGCCTTTCAGTTCCTTGGCCTTTTCAAGTTCTAGCAGCTTATGGTAGCTGGTGTCCATAGGCAAGGTACTATTTTTTTTCAGAGGTAATGGACATAGGGCTTTGCAAAAGTAGGCTGCACAGGCCACTGTGGCTGATCTTGATTTGCACAGATATAGTTGAGAGAGGCTTGTTGCAGAAGGGAAAGGCACTATTGAATGGAAAATTTTGTTCCGCCTTTTATTCTCAGCCAGAATTGCAGAACAAAGGCTTAAAAGTGCAATGGTGTAAGTTCCACATGTACTTCAAAACATGTTTGGGAGAGTCTAGCTCTTAAATTGTGCTGGGGATTAGCAGGTGACATTAGATTAGTTTCACCCAACTTGAGTTTATCTTGACTTGAATTGCATCCTTTTATAGGGACCAGGGAGGGACTTGGAAGGGGCCAAATTCTTTCATTCACATGGGTGTCCAGAGTCACGTTCTATTTATGCCCCAAGTTGGTGTCAGATGTGTTGACTATATAAGCCCTGACAGGGGAATTTCAAGGACTCAAGCTGTGTGTTCAATCAGAGGAATGATGGATTTTAATCATAAATATAAAAAGAGAAATGCAAATGTTCGTTATATGGGGCTTTGAGGTAGAGAGAAATAATGGTATTGTAATTCCAAAGGTTAGGAAGAGTATTTAAAACGGTTGTGCCTGGATTCTTCTCTCCCTGGGAAGCAGGTCTATTCAGGAAATCAAGTAGGAACCATATTTGTTTCAAACATATGTTCAGACCTTGAAGTCAAATTGGAAGAAGTGGGAGGGTAAAAAAATGAATAAAGGAAGATAGGCTAATTGAGCTGGAGAAAGAAAGATTTCTTTAGAAGAAAGGTTGTGTTCTTAAATGACACAAAAGAATTGACAATAAAAATGGGAAAACAAGAAAGGCCAAGAGCCCACTGATCTTAAAGGTGGGGTTACAGAAGGTGGTAGTTCAGTCATGACTAAATTAGAGGAGGTAAAAGGAACCCAAAGAGAAATAACAGAAGAAAGGAAGCAAGCTCTCAGAGAGAAAACAGAAAAGTCCATCTCCACCAAGGATCTCAGATCCTGGGAAATATTGGGAGGTACCTACATGAACCTGCAGAGAAAGCAATGGGAAAACATCCCATCACCACTAAGATAGGTATACTAGAAGGTTATAGAAAATGTAGATATACTGCCAATGTTTTCAGCTTAGTGATATTACCATGGCAAATGGAAATACCAATATGGCTTGGAGAATGTAAAGAGTTAGGCCTCTAAGGGAAAGCATAGGGTAGAAGAAACACATGAAATATAGAAAAGTAACTTGTCAAATTAATATAATCTAGGAAGGAAAAAAGCCCCATTATCTCAGTTGGTTCCAAAATAAGTATTTGTTAAAACTCAACAGCAATTTGTGATTTAACTTTAAAACATCTTACCAAAGTAGTAAGAAAAATAATTTTTAAATTGATAAAAAGTATCCACCAAAAGCCTACAGTAAACATCAAACTTAGAAAGATAGCAGAAACTCCTGTTGACCATTTAGTAAATAGAAGAAAGTCTTAACAAACTCCAGATAGGCAGTAACAAAAATACAACAGGAATCTACCCCCAAATCCATGCACTGGGAAATATAAAAAGAAAACCTATACATAACACAGATAAAGCAGCAATTACCAAAATTTAGAACTCAATGGAAACCAAAAGCACAACATAGCAAAACTTCTGTGATGCAAGCAAACAGCACTGGGGAGGAAGTACAGCTTATAGTCTTCAGTTTTTCATTAAGAAAAAAAAAATTGAAAGTGAATGAAGTAAACTTTCAACTCCAGAAGAAAAGGAAAATAAACAAACCTAAAGTAGAAAAAGCCGTTACCATGGGCAATACACTCAATAGAGAAGATATTGCCCCCAAGGGAGAAAAACATTATTTCCTGGGGAAGGGGGAGTGAAAAAAATGTGAGATATTACAATATTTGTGGCCCTTCAAAAGGCCATACTCCATAAACAAATATACCCTATATGTGTGGTTTAAGATGTGGGGGCAGAGGGGAGTAGTGATTAGGGGGAAAAGGTCTAAAAAGGCTCCTGGAGGGGAGATAATGAAAAAAAGGTTGAAAAGCACTGCCATAGATAAAAGCAGATTGGTGAAACAGATAAAGAAAATGAGTAGAGTTGTCCAAAACACTTTTTAAAAGCCTAATAAAAGTAGATTTCTTTGACATATATGATTAAGAAAAAGAGACAGAAGGCACAGAAATTATTAGGACTAGAAAGGGGCATAAGATCACAACACATGAACAGAGTTTTTAAATTATAAGAGAATAATTCAAAGAACTTTATATCCATAGAATTGAAAAATACATGGATAATCTTACAGGAAAACACAAAATTTTAAAATGGTTTAAGGAGATGTAGAAAATCTGAAATGAAAATAATAGTCAAAGACCTATCCCCCTAAAAGGCACCAGGTCTGGGCAGTTATATAGGCAACTTCTCCAGACCTTCAAGAAACAGATAACTTCTGTATTTTATAAATTGTTTTAAATCATAGAAAGAGAAAAATTATCCAGTTTACTTCATGCTATATAGTTAAGCTACCTTAATGCCAAAAGAAGACAAATAAAAGATAAAGAAAAATAAACCACTTTTTATTTATAAAGATAGGTGCAAAAATCACAAGTAAAAAATATTAGAAATTATATTTCAGCAGTGAGTGAAAATAATAATGCATCGTGATCATGTTAAACTTATCTCAGAACTGTGAGATTAATCCAATAATAGTGTTCTATCAATATAATTCACTACATTAATTGAAAAAAGGAGAAAATTAGTGACTTTCTTATATGCAAGCAATCATAAATCAGAAAATGTAATAGACTAAGTGATTCCATATATGGTAGCAAATAATAATATAAAAAACCCTTATAGACAAGACTATAAAACTTTTACTGAGTGATAATAAAAGGGACATGACTAAATAGGGATAAATAATGTTCCTGTAGATGCTAAAACTCAATACTTTGGAGATATCAGTATTTTTCTCAAATTTATATATTTAATACAATTCCAATCAAAACTCCAAAAAGATTTTTTGTGAAACTTTTTCAGGGAAACATTATGGAAGATTATGGAGGTTGAGGGAGAGATAGGGATGGAGAGTTGATTTACCAGATACCAAAATATTACAAGTGATGTGGTATAGTGCAGGAATAGACAAATAGGTAAGTGGATTGAATAAAGAATTCAGAAAGAGACCTGTGAATACAGAAGTTGGCATATAAGAGATATGGCACTTCACATTAGTGTAGAAAAGACACACTAGTTAAATTTTATTGAGACAATTAGCTCTTCATAAGAAAGCAAAACAAAACAGCAAAATAAAACACAACATTACATTCTATCTCAAATGTTTTAGAAAAATTAATTCTAGATGGTAAAGACCTAAACATTTTTAAGCTATGAAAGGTATTAATCCAAAAAACTGGAAAATGTCATCCTTGGATAAAGAAGACCTTCTCGTTTAGGACAAAACAATTTTTTGAATAAAAATTTAAAGAAGGAAAAGACAGATTTGACTGCATCAAAATTCTAAAATGTTTTACATCTGAAAACCTAAACAAAATTAAA